AGAGAAAAGGTTTTAAAAGATTTTGGTTCACAGAGAGAAAAAGTTTCCCACGGGCCTTGGCCCATTACAAGGAAGGTGGCCCCAACCCCGGGCACATCCTATGGTTTAGACGGGGGCAATCGCCAAGACAACCCTCTTTGGGTCACACCTGGCTGGCCAACAGACAATCAAGGACTTTTCAGGATATGTTCTGTGGTTTTTCCTTTGTAGAAAAGCAGGTCACACCTGGGTGGCCACTCTAACATGAGATCATACTTTGTAATCAATCACTTTGTGCCCCTTGCCTGTATGCTGATCTGCGGTTTTTTCCTATATAAGGAGCTTGCACCCCATGGTGATATGTGCAGCTTCCCCGATATTGCTGACACCCGAATGCGCATTCGTTCAATAAACCCTCTTGCTTTTGCAGCTCTTGGTCTGGTTTCTGAGTCTCGGGGGCTCCTTGGGACCCTGTGCCGCTTAGGGGCCTGGGGGTCTTTCACGTTGAGCCTACCCAACAAACTGCTTTCCCAAGCCCTATGTGGAAATTGGAGCCCCATCATTGGGTGCCATATGTAGCAAGTATTTTTCTGTTCCACCAGCCAGCTCCCAAATAATGACACAGAGACTCCTTATTCATTATGAAAACTTGGCCTAGAGCTTAGGCTTGTTCTTAACTAGCTCTTATAACCTAAATTAACCCATTTATATTAATCTACATTCTATCATGTGGTGTTACCTTTCTTCCATCTTATACCTCCTGTTTCCTCTGCATTTTTTGCACACCTGGATTTCTCCTCCTATTTCCTTTCTCTGTCCGGAAGTCCTGCCTACACCTTCTGCCGATCAGCTTTCTATTACACCAATCACAGCAACACACCTTCACACGGTGTAGAAATATCCCACAACAGGTCTGTAGGCCTTTCTCTTTCTCTCTCTCTCCCCCTCCTCATTATTGATGAGTTTAGGGATTTCCACAGTTGCAGCTTTGGGCTGGGGAATGAGTTACCAAACTCTTTTTTCTGTGTTCCTAAGATCTGTGAGCAGTTCTACTGGAGCATTGTAGGAGCTAAGTCTGTAGTTTAGACCAACAGACTTACTCTTCCTTGCTATTATTACTTTAAATTTCATTTTATTGTATTGTGAAGTGATGTCTTGCCTGTGTGTATGTATGTGCAGTACATTCATGTCTAGTGCCCTCAGAGGTCATAAGAGGGCCTTGGATCTCCTGGGACGGGAGTTACAGACAGTTGTGAGCTCCCATGTGGATGCTGGGAATTGAACCCAGGTTCTCTACAAGAACAAGTGCTCTTACCCATTGGGACAACTCTCTAGCCCAGCTATTTTGGAAATAGGTTTCATGTAGCACAGGCTGGCCTCAAGATCCCTATGTAGACAAGGATGGTCTTGAACTCCTGATCCTCCTACCTCTGTCTCCCAAGTGCTGAGATCACAGGTTACAGCCAGTCACAAGTAACTTTCTGACTGTTTAAAACTTCCTGGCCTGGTGAGACACAAGAGTACAAGCACCAGTTTAGCCACTCCCTGATCAATAAAACCTGTGAGTAAGGGTCAGCAGTAAAGTTCTGTGTAGTAGGTTCAAACCTCAGCACAAAAAACTAGAAACTTTGAGAGAAACCTCTGTGGCCTACTGGACAGAAAGGAGACACTGAAGCTAAAGGAGAATGTCCACTTGATATACCATTATATTTTCACTCTTACTTTTCATATAACTTAAAATATTTGACTCTCTCTCTCTCTCCCCCTCTCTCTCTCTCTTTCTCTCTCTCTCTCTCTGTCTGTCTCTCTCTCTCTCTCTCTCTCTCTC